CTTCCCAAGCGGCGCACTGTAGCAGTGCGCCACTGGGCCGGCCCAAGCTCTCAGAGGTTTAGGCAGGCAGTGACAAGATTGGCCCTGCAGTTTAAAAAAACAACCCTAGAGAAATCTGTAGAATAGAGTGGAGAGAGCAAGACCAACGTGTGTGCTCCTGCGCCGTGCGGGCTGCGTGGAGGAGCAGGGGTGAGAAGAGATGGAGGCAGACGCTGTGAGACACTGTGGATGTACAGTGAGCAGATCTGGTCACGGATGACCCCCAGCGTGCACAACTCGCCGGACTCTGATGCTAGTTACCAAACGGGAGAAGGCAAAAGGGACAGCAGGGTCTCAGAGAGGGTAGGAAGTTCAGTTTTGCACATACGAACTTGAGTGTCTAGTGGCATGTCAAGGTGGAAACATTTATCTGGAGACCAAGAAAGAGGTCGAGGCTGAAGATCTAGGAGTCCTCAGCACACAGGCTGAATACGCAGCCACGGTGAGCGCGAGATCTCTACAGGAACAGATAGAGGAAGGGAAAGGGGTGGATGGATGGAAACGGAGCCCCATCCGTTCATGAGAGGGCGATCAGTGAGGAGGAAGTCTCAGGACAGAGTCAGCCAAGCGGCCGAGGAAGGAGAGGTCTGAGGAGGACCGGGGGGAGGACAGTGGGGCAGTTTTCAGTGCCTAAGGCAAGAGAGCATTTAAACCAGATGAGAACGAAGAGAGGCGATTGCGTTGGATGTTCAGAGACCACGCTCACTGCTCTATAACTGGTCAGCAGACAGAGTTAAGAAGGAAAATTCCTTTTTGAATTGTGATCTGGTAAGTAACATTAAATAAAAGAGGTCTCTCTGTAATGAAATTTGGTTGTTTTTTTAACATAAGTGGGTATCGATTTGGGGACCTCAAAACACATTTTTTTCCATTCCAATTCATAGTAATTATGCTTTCAACTTCAGAAAACGCTCCCTGCAATAGTTTTTCCAGAAATAAATTATTCCTATAAGGTGAGGAAGACTGTATTTTGCTTTTGGGTTTGGCTCAAATAGCCCAAAATAGTATTCTTCAGAACACTCTTCTGAGAGTATCAACTATTATCCCATGAAAATGAGTATTCTGTGTTCAAAAGAGTTTGAGAAATGGTACATACTAAATCTTTCAGAGATTTATAACATAATAACACATAGGCATGAAGCTTGTTTAACTTTTCAATGCCAGTGTTTCCAAACCTTATTTGACACTGAAAGAGCACACTGTCCATAGGACACTACCTAGAGAATACAGCTCCTGAGGAAGCCAGGGGACGTGAAAAGAGCCCAGGCGTTGAAGCCCAACATATCTCAATTCAACTACCAGCCTGGCACTTATTAGCTGTGTCTTGGGCAAATTGCTTACTTACCATGTCTTTTAAATAATAATAACATGTACCATACAGGGCTGTTGTAAGACTTCTAGCTAATATATACAAAGTGCCTAATTCAGTGCTCAAAACAATGTGGTTTTTACTATACTAATATAGTAGTATATTATCAATGAAGCCCCCTTCAAGCCTTGCAATGTTGACCTGAAGATATTCACAGGCTCTGTGAACATGTCTCATTCATTTCATATTTCAGAATTTCCAAAATCATAGCACTGAGTTTGCAAAGTGTCTCCCTAGAATAAAAACACCTGCCCCAATTCCTATATCATGAGCTATTCATGGGGATTATAAACAATTAGGTTTAAAGAACAGATGCAGAATAGCTTCTTCTTTCAAGTTTGTGTCCCAATAAGCACTGTGAAGGCTTATGTGGATGTAGATTACATGAATTTGAGGACTCCGAAAGCTGTTTGAACATGACTAATATTTAAAATTAAAACCAAGAGAGTTTTCTTCTTTTTGAGAACCCTTAAAAAATATATATATAGATATACTTGAATTTAAAGACATGATTTGAATAACTCATACTTTATAGTCTGAATAATCCACTGTCAGTTTCATAGATATGTAAAAAAATAATAAAATTAAGA